AACCCTCGGCAGGAGCGCCGCCGCGCTCCCAAGCGGTGCACTGTAGCAGTGCGCCACCGGGTCGGCCCTATCCATTCATCTGTTGATGGACACTTGTATCGCTTCCACCTTTGGCTACTGTGAATAATGTTGTTATGAACATGAGGATACAAGGACCTGTTTGAATCCCTGCTTTCAATGCTTTGTGGCATATATCTAAAGGTGGTAACTTTTTATTTTTATTTTTATTATTAAATGCTCACAGCAGTTCACAGACAGATATTCTTGAGGCTGGGGCTTGTCCCTTTTCTACTCCCTCAGTGGGGATTTGTATGCTCCCAGCTTCCAAAACAACCCCCCAAACTGGATATGGTCAATTGCTTTTGTTCTCAGACAGATTCAGTTTCCATGGCAGCCTCTAGCCCTCACCTCCAGGTCTTACAGCTCCTGCTTTAACAGAAGGGAATCCAGTGACAAGTGCTGGTGGGGGAAGGTTATTCCTCTTCCTAGTCCCATGACTGATTGCAGCGAGTGAGGGGCTAGGGTAGCTAGGGGGTGCTGGCTTATTACTGTGGGGTGCTTGCTTATAAACGCTTATAGCTGTAAATAGACTTCTGNTGCTGGCTTATTACTGTGGGGTGCTTGCTTATAAACGCTTATAGCTGTAAATAGACTTCTGCCTCATTCTTGAGATCCTTTTGAGTTGGAACAGAGCTTTCTCTCCTAAAGTTGTGCCACTTCTGCAAAGAGCTAAAACCTTACTTTTCCAAGCAAAAACAAGTCATCTGACAGCAATTCACAATAACACGATCATTTGGGTATTTTGGACATGCTAAAACTTAACTCTTTAAATGCTAGAAGAAAAGTTATTTTGAAATGATAATAGATTGTGCTTTGAAAATTATGTACAGAAAACAGGTAAAACAATAGAATTGCAACAATTTTTATTAGCTAAAGTTTCCTGTAAACTGCTAGTCATAAGATAGTCTCTCCTTAAATGTATAAAATTATCTGTGATCCAAAAGTAGGTGATCTCAGCATTGTTTCAGCAAAATTTACCTGAAAATAGAATTTTGCATTCCTTTAAAATGTTATGAACTGCATGATTCTACAGAAATTAGTTCTATTTACAAAGATCATTCCTAGAATAAAAGGCTATTTAGTGGTCTCAGAAGCTAAGCAGGGTCAGGACTCCTTAGTACTTAGATGGGAGACCTCCTGGGACTACTGAGTGCTATAGACTCTTTTTTTTTTTAAAGGGCAATTTAGTGGCCCAAGGGAAAAAAAAATCTAAGTTCTTAGTTAATATTTCTGGCTCCTTTCTGGATTGCAACAAGCCAGTGAGGAACCCAGAATAAATCCTATGGGTGAGTGGGGATAGGTGGAGGAAGGGTAGGAGTTGGGACTTGAATTTCAGAATCATCTCGCATCTGGGATCAGAGCTTTTGCACTGCCGTCCACAGACAAGTGTGGCACACATGTATGCACAAGTCATTGTTTTCTGCATGGTGAGGTGCATTTTTCTTTCTTGTTTTCTCTGTCTTTCCTTTCGATTTGGTCTTATAAACATTGAACTGATCTCAAATTTACCTTACTTAGCTAACACAGTTTTCCTATATTCTGTCCCTTAGTCATTAGTACATGAGATATATTACCTAGAGTTGGTTTTGGGGGTGTTTTTTTTTTTTTTTGTCTTTTTGTCTTTTTCTGTGTCCGGTAACGGATTGCAACCCTCAGTGTTGCCCCCGTACCGGACCGGGGACCGGCAACGGGATCGCA